AGGGAAAGAAATGAAGAATCTTAAACAAAAAGCAAAGGAGATGTGGCCAATTTTTACCATTTGGGATATTAACAAGTTTAACATGGCTCAGCAACTATCTTAAGTGTTATATCAACTATTATGACACAAACTAAAGGTGTTGAAATATAAAGACGTGTGTTTTCTGAGAGGAAATGGGTGACAATTTGAAGGGCTGGTTTTTTTAACAGAAGGAATAAATATGTAAGAATTCAGAACAGATTCTCAACCAACACTAATGTGCAATAAGGTTTATGCAAGTTAAGAAAGGTTTTAAACTTTAAAAAATTTTTTTTCAAGGAAACTACTGTTTCCTGTTATTTCTGGGAAATCTGTAAATGCTAGTGTTTTCAAAAGGAAACATTTGTGGAGAGATGTTAAGTATGTTTTACTTGCTACACATATCAGATTCTTGTTTGTTCATTTCCCCTAAGAAGTCTGTAATTCTGTTTTAAATAAATGACATTTACTCTCAATTAAGGTTTCTTTCTTTTTATTCCCCCAAATCAGCATCCCTATGGGAAGTACAGGGCTTCTAGGATTTTCTCCACCTACATAAATAAATTTTTAGTAAAGAGCTTTCTTTCTTGAATAAGATCCGTAATCTCCAGAATACACTGTCTGAATTAACTATTCTGTTGAAAAAGTCTATGTACTGGCCTGTTTTATAGTAAACTATTGGGATCTTTAAAATAAAGATTCTGGACTAATGCAAAACTCAGAGTATGTAATTTACTTAAATATGTATAAATATCTATAATTTCCCATTTCATTTTCAATACAGCTATTGCCCTTCATTGCAGAAGTATGAATAATCAACTTGGTTGATACTATTCAATCTGAAAGATGCACACAGAGAACTTCCATCATGGTCAAATAAATAAATTTAGGGCCATCACTTGATGACAGAAAAATCAATAAATACATAGACATTTCTACGTTCACCAAAATCTCATTTATAGCTCTGCTAAGCACCATGGTTACTAAGATGAACAAGTTAACGTTAGGTATTTTAAAGATCCAAACAATGAGAAATCAGCCAGTCTACCAAACTGGCAGTTTATCATGAAAGTCAATAATTACTTATGTTTTGTGGGGGGCCGGGGGGGAATAGAAAAATTAGAAAAAAGAAAATTTAGTAATGGAACGATTCTAATGTGAACAGACAATACCAAGTTTGTTGCCATCTGTGATTTGTCCATATCCATAGGTTTTTAACATACTTACTTGAACAATGGAGTTCCACAAACAACACATTTATATATTCCAGGATCTTTGTGATGTGTATATTCTCCTTCGAAGGCACTGACACACAATAAACAGAGCATAAAAAAATTTAATTAAACAAGTTAGCATTATTTCTTATAGAACTTATTTGCTTAAAATACATTTTTCTAAGAAAACTTTCAAGGGCTTTTTGTCCTAAAATGAGAACAGACCAAACATATGGAAATCTGAACATTACTAATACATTTCAAATCTGTATAATAAAATGTGCATATAACAACTCCAAACTAGTGTGGGTTAAATTTTTTAAAAAATCAGGCCATCTAGTTATGTAATGCTTAGAAAACTTTTTTCCTATTTAAAAAAAAAAAAAGCCTGTAGTTCAGATTCACAGAAAAAAACATTATTACATAAGATTTCTGCTACTCTACAGTGTCCAAGAGTATATACGAGAAAATGCAGAAGGGTCCAACACTTCCAGTGGAAGGAGTCTTATTTTTTGGTTTGAAAAGGAATATTGCAGCTTTAAGGGAATATTTTTCTAAGTTAACAATCTTAAAGGCTAGGAGGTCATTCAGCTAACACAAATCAGCTGTGCTAGCCCAACAAAAAGTCTGTGCTCTGCAGCTTGTTTTTATTATCCTTTCACCCTCTTTATGAGGTCCAATTTTTTTATAAACAGAATTTTTAAGAATGACCTAATCTCTAGTTGTTTGTGTGCATTAAATCATTTTGCTAGTCATGTACACAACAGGACGGGTAGATGACTTGGACCAAGACCGAAGTCCATCGCTAACTCATTGTGCAATAAAGGTGTACGTTGTCAGAGATTCAGCATTTGGTAAATTCAGTAAATAGTATATACTGTGACAGGAAGACAGTGTTGCCTATTAACAAAGACCCCACGTGTGGTAAAGAGCTCTTTCAGTTCATGAATGAAAACAAGAAGTTACATCATTAATAAATTTGGATCAGAGGTAAGTTACAGCCTTATGCCAAGCTCCATGGTATAAATTAGACAACAAAATGGTTGGACTTTGGCAAGTTACCTTTGAGCTGGAATCAGCTGAGAGAGACTTTATTCACTAAAAACAGTCTTGGAAGTGAACAAACTCTTTTTTCAGGACTTAGGGCAAACTTCCAAGGACCAAAGCCATGTGAGGGCAGTTATTGAAAATTTTTGACATTCCAACCACAAATGAGCCAATAAATACTTTCTCCACATGTGCTTCAAAAAGAAATTGGAGTGGGGTAGAAAGGAACTAAATTATGCTACCTTCTTTTTGCAGCCAAAACGTCTATACTTACAATGGCCACCTTCAAATTTTCAGTATCCTGGCAAAGTGCCATGTCCCTCATGGTTTTGCTTACTCTGATGTCTTCCCAAAAAATGTACCTAAATCGCTATTACTTCCACACATTTTGTAGTAAACTAGAAACAGGCCCTTAACAAAAGCCTTGTGACTTTACAAAAGATAGTGTTCATTAAATGGGGGAAAGAATAAATAAAACTTAGTCTTAATCTAAGCAATACCATTTTCAACCTTTTCAAGGATACTAATTTGTAGACTTTAGCAAATAAGTATAGAATCCTTTAAATTAAGTGGCAAGGAAGAGGATTCAAAGGTGGGGCGGGGGGATAAGGAGGATGAAGAAAACTAGCTCTTGCTTAATGGCGTTTTCATAAGCTTGCCTTACCTTTCGGTCCCTTTCTCCTGAGTGACATGGTACTGCTGGGGTGTCAGCCGCTTCCTCAGTTCCTGCTGGGAAAAGACCACCTTACAGCTCTTTTTATCCCTACATGACCCTGGAAAGAGAGAGGATGTGGGAGAAGGAGGACTTTTAGCTTGAATCCTAAATAATTGCTCTGGCTGGCCGTCACAGCACAGCTTCTGCAGTCACTTGTCAATGACCAGGCCAGTCCCTAACACACTAGACAAACTTACCTGAACTGCAGCTGGCTATTTCTCTCAGTTTAAAAAGAATGGTACTCAAGATTCAGGTGATTCCACTGGAGCACTGACAATGTGCTATAGCCAAAGCTGCTGGCATGCAACAGTAAAAACCCATTGAACATTCACAAGGTGGGAATACATCCTTTACATCTCCCAGTACCTTGAATTTCTTTTTTTTCAAATGAATTCAAAAAACATAACTCTATTTATAAGCATTTATGCTGTATATATAAGAGGATGGGCATATTATATTAAACAATAACTCTCCATTCGTTTAGTAGAATAGCCTGAAACCTTCCTCATTCAATTTCCAACCTGGGTGATTTAAATACTATCCTATTTGTTTATTGAACCCTAAAGATGTATCTTTCCACAGCTAGGAATTCTCTGTGATTCTGTCAGAGGCTTCACTAGGTTCTGAAGAGTCCTTAAAAACAAATATCTCTTGCAAGACTGTATCTTACCACGCTTAAACGGGCAGCAAGAAACATTTAACAGACTGCAGGAGAAGGCATTTACACTAATGCAGATTCAAGAAGTTCCAAAGAAAGAGAAAAATAGGGAGGGAGGAAAGACAAAGAAAAGCAAAAGTGAATGTGATTTTATTTAGAGACCTATATTTTTCTTTTTATAAAGTATACTTAGAAAGACTTCACTGGCTAAATATATTTGAATGGTAAAATAATTTTAATTAGATTCTAATAACAATGTTAGCTTTTATTTCAACTTACACAGACCGCAATAAAATGTCCAGACAATACCCGCTTATATGGGGTATTTTGTCTTACCTGAACAAATGACTGAAAAGAAATACAGTCGGCCCTCTGTATCCACAGGTTCCACATCTATGGATTCAACCAAACATGATGGAAAATATTCCCCCCCACACAAATTCCAGAAAGTTCCAAAAAGCAAACCTTGAATTTGCCATGCTAAGGCAACTATTTACATAGCATTTACATTGTGTTAGGTATTATAAGTAATCTAGAGATGATTTAAAGTATAAGGGAGGATGTACATAGGTTATATGTAAATACTATGCCATTTTATATAAGGGCCCTGAGCATCCTCAGATTTTGGTATCTGCAGGGGGTCAGGAACCAATCCCCCATGAGTACCACGGGATGATCAATAACTCCAGACACGGCAACCCTTACTCACTGCAGTAAAATTGCTTTTCTTTGCTTTTCCATCACAGTGAGAAAGAGGCACGCAGATGTCACCACATGCAAAAATTTCCTACCATGTTACGAAATTACTGAAAGAAAGCTTGCTTAGTTCCCCAAATATTAAACTCAATTTGTTTTGAAACATAAAAGAAATGTGATTTAGGAATAGAAATGCTTTCTACTTCTTTTACTTTCAAGGCACCTAATGTCACAGTATACGAGATCACTGAAATTAAAACAGGAGAAACTTAACTAACCACTGACTCTGATTGTGGGATTGAAGAAGGATATCAGCTTCCAGAATCAGGGCCACCAAGATAGAGTGGTTGATTCTCTATAAGAAAACATGGAGGCAGCAAAAGAGCAAACCAGAGCCGAACAGCAAAACACACCTTTGAGTAGGCCTGTGGGTTGTCAAATAGCGCCTCTTCTGACCTTCCACAAAGAATGTTGGCCCTGCTCTGGCCTGAAAAGATCCACAGGAACAGCTGGCAAATCACACTAATGGCATGTTGGTCTCTCATCTCACTGAACCCCGTATTACACTAGGCTTTATGCAAATACCTACTACTTACACTTTTAATATTTTCTAAGAGATAGAAATGTTTCCCTGAGAAATGTTTGTCCTGTCAGAACAAGCCTCTCCACAACTTGAATGCAGAACTGGCTGTGATAGGTGAGTTTCTGCTCAATTTGCTATAGATGTCTTAAAAAGTAACTTTTTGTTTTTATTGCTTTATATGTTGAAAGGGTTGTATCTTCGTGGATTTTATCCCCCCAAATTCATTAATTGCAAATCTAACATGACAGAATAACTTGGTTAAAATTCTTCTTTCCAATGGCATAGATAATTAAAATCTATACAATTAGAATTAAACAATTCTGTCTAAAATATTTTTGTTAATATATGTTCATTCATACAAAAAGGCCAATTGTGTTCCCAAAGTCGAGAGAACTAAGCTACCCATCTGTATGTCATTTAGTACAAGAGAAGCAACTGCAGGTTTAAATTACATGGTATTGGATTGCAATTTCCTAACATTGGATGCTTTTCTGCTTTTTTACCTTGAGTCATTTACTAAGGAGTGTTCATAAAAAGTAGCTTAAAGCACAGATGCTTGCAAATCGTTTAGGCAAAGATGTCTCTCTCTTTTTCATTCTCCCTCTCTCAAAAATCTCTCTTTTCTGAAGAAAAAGAATAAAACTGTTGGTCAGTATTGACGAACCATGTCAAGGATTTGTACAAGGAAAAAAGGTAAAATTGAAAACATCTGATTGAAGTAAATAAGACAAACATAAAAGCTTCACTGGTGAATGAAGGGTATTGAAAAAACTTTATTTCATAGATTAGAAATTACTTTTGATCTAAACATTCTTAAAAACAGATTGTTTTCTACTATGAACCATCTCATTAGCTGTGCTACAGAGACCTCGTTTTAATGGCAAGCTTTGAAAGAGTGCTGCTGTACTCTTTTGTTAGTCTCCGTCTTATTTGTAAGGGGGATAAAGATTTCATCCCAGCTTTCTTTGTTTGTCTTTCAAGAACCACTAAAGCAGTATTCACACAAATTTTGTAGGAATGTGCCCTATGTCATAGCCTACAAATTATTTGGTTTTGGTGCACTTAAAGGTCATCTTCCAAATTAGCAAAATTTTCCTACATCCTGGCTTTTCAACCTTAAATATAAATATTGTTTCCTAACTGTAAGTGAGGTTTGTTCTTTAAGAAATGCTAGTGTTTATTTAAAGTTGTCAAACTTTGTACATTTTAATTCTTTGGTCATACTATGTTCTCAAAATAATTAGGCTTTTAAAGTGTACCTAATAGCAAAAGGAAGTATATGTGGACTAGAAACAACCATTGTGATTTAACACTAAACAATGAAACGTTAGTCAGATTTTAATAAATTTCTTGCCACATAGTTTAATAATAATATACTTCCTGGACAATTGAAAGCTGTACTATTACATTAGCTCTCCTAGCATCATAACCAAAAACTGGCATATATAAACACAGAAAGGCTTCACTTTTGTCTCTAATTTCCCTTTTCCCTATCAGACTCACTTTTCTAAAGTCATGTGGTGCCACTGTTAATTTCAAAGAAATCATTTCATTTTGAAATTCTAGAATAATTCATTGGATGGTTTCCCTTTACTATCTTCACTTAGGTACTGTAATTTTCTTATTACACAGGGTAATTTAACATTAGTATTATATGACATCTGTTCAATGACCCCTAAATTGGCTTAGAAGTATGTTAGGGAAAGATTTTTTTCCTTTATTTAAATGGTTAATAGAGTACTTCGAAGCCACAAGTGAGCCTATGTGTATATACACGCAACACAAAGCATATTTGAGAGGGTAATGTTGCCACTTTGGTACCTAATCATAACACCATTCCATACAGAGTAACTTTGGTATATATCAGACCCACCTTGAACCCTATCCAAGGGCATTTATTTGCTAAAATATGCCCAAAGTCTCTTTTTATATCAAAGCTTGTTCCATATTGTTGCCTCAAAGCCAGTATTGTCTTGAATTGGAGTTCACTTTCTGCCTTGCCTGCTTCCTAGTCACGTGACCTTAGACAAATGGGTCTCTCTATGTGCTACCATCCTCAGAGGTCTGCTATAAGGATCATAGCAATTAGCACTTAACAAACACTGTCTAAACAAATGCAGTATTATATTACCATTTTGATTACAGTGAATTCTGAAGTTAAAACTGTATTTTAAAAGGTAACCAGATCAGGTATTTCAGTGTGCTGCAATATTTTATTGGTAATTATTTTTCCATAGTAATTCCCTTAGAACAGTATTTTCCTCACAAGTTATCTTTAAAAATGATTAAAATGACAATTGAAAGAAGAGAAGAAAATTAAAATTTGAGTGCCTACTATGTGCCAGGCACATTTCTAGGCACTTTCACATATCTACATTTAATCCTCTCAATAATTCTAGGAGGTAAATGTCACACCCATTTTACAGATACAGAAACTGAGGCTCAGAGAGGTTATAACATAACTTACTAAGGACAAACAGCAAATAGATATACTGACTCAAATCCCAGGCTATCTGACCGCAATGCCCATGGAAAAATTATGCTACAAATTTCTTCTTTCTTCTTAAATTATGCAATAACTTTCAGCTTGAAAACTATCACTAACAACTTAAGATAATAAGAGAGAAAAGTAATAATCACTACAGTACATCCAGAAAAGTAAAAACATTTGTCTATTAGCCAATGTCTGTATTCTCTGTGTTCATTCCTTCAGCATAGGGTCAGTGACGAGGTTCAAACGGGATTCTCACAAAGTATATAAAACGTTGAAAGGCTTTTTAAAGTCCTGTTTAGAAGTAAATCAAATCTGTTAACTAAATCTTAGAGCACTTTTAAGTCATAAATCTTATATTTCAGTGCGAAAAATCAAAACAAAACAAAATCCAAAGATCCCATAACTTTAATTTTGGTCCTAGGATCAGAAAAAATGAAACTATTAAGTATCTTCCCAAAATAATAAGTGAATAAGAGATAAGACTATCTTGTTTTGCTTTGAATTAACTAGGTTAAAACAGTAAAGTTCATGTTGAAATATCTTACTACTATATTTAAAAATGGTGTATTTTAATTTTCACTATAAATTATAATTTTCCGTTGGTTATTAGTCTGTCATACTGGGAAA